TGAGAGAACGCACACGTGACGTTCCTGTGAGACTGACAAATCGCGAGTCGAATTTTCTCCACGAGAATATAACGACTCGGGATAGCGTTTGAGACGTTCACGATTGAAGGCAAGCGCACACAGAAAAATATACACTGCATTCGAGTAAATGTTACTTGTTTCAAGTGTTTCATAAGTTTATATATTTGTAAATCTATCACAAGTTCGTCAAAAGCATCAAATGTATTCAAAATATATTACGAATTCTAATAAGTTTAATACTGAATTAAAACAAAAATTCAGTTTACTTAATACTTAGAGTCACAACTTTTTCTCCGACGGTTACATAATTACATATTCTTATAAAGAAAATAAATTCTTCCTTTGAGTACACGATGATGAACTTTCCGAAAACTTGTGATGAGTATGTTTCAACACTATTATCAAGAAAATCTTCATTATTAAAGATAACTCGTTACTTAAAGGAAGGAAAATAAACTAATTGCTTTTCTTAACAGTAGAATGATATTTTTCTGCGTGTGCGCAGTTGTTCCGGGACATCCTGCGTATTTTCTCGTAATTAGAATGAATAAGCAGATCTTCGTATTGTAATTGTAATGTTGTGCGACACGTCGACAGAATTGCCAGAATTGCTTTGTACACGGAGATTCGTGTCGAATCGTCCACATGTACATACATGTATATACACTGAGAAAAAAGAAGCAGTTGGATTGGCAGAATCGGTGGTCACCCGCAGAGAAATATTGTGTATCTATTGAACAAATTATACGTTAGAGTGCAATAATAAGTTACGTTGGTATAGTTACACTGATAAAAAATTGCTATCATTGAATCAGTATATATAATTATACATATAATATGTATATAATTATGTATATATATTGTGTATATATATTATATGTAATTATATAAACAAATAAAAATAATATAATTATATAAAATAATTATATATATTAATATATATATATATATTTATATATATATATATATATATATATATAAAATAATTATATATATTAATATATATATATATATATATATATATATATATATATATATATATATATATATATATATATATATATATTTATATATATATATATATATATATATATAAAATAATTATATATATTATTATATACACAGAGAGAACGATTTATTGAATCAAATGTTTCTTTGGAATAGTCCAAAAGCAAATTATTTGGCTTTGGAACTAAGCTGCACATAAATATTTTTGTTGCGTCAAACAATTTTGTTTGATCAATCAAAAAATTCGTTTGGACTATTCCAAAGAAGTGTTTATTTGATTCAACCAAATCGTTCTCTCTGTGTATATATGAATTTTATATAAATTTTATATAAATTTTATATAAATAATTTTATATACATATATGTATAAATTTTATATATATACATATATATATATATATATAAATATTTATATATAAATAAATAAATAAATAAATAAATATATATATATATATATATATATATATATATATATATATATATATATATATATAT